GTTTTTCATTTGAAACGGTGAAATTCTGGGACCCCTTCTGAAATGATCGGTGTCTATCATCGGGTTCTCGCCCAGGGATCGCGGAAGAAGGTGCAACAAGGCGCTGGGTTCCACAAGCGTCGAACGGTGCCGCTGCTGCTGCAGCCCGCTTCCAGGCTATCGGAGCATTGAGAGTGCGCTTCAGAACATCATCAATGAGGCCTGTTGCACCTGCCCTCAAAGCCACTCTAAGAGGTTGGAGTATGTCCATCCTTTTTGCCAAAGTTAGCCTGGACCCAGATGACCCACCTCCAAACCGGTGCTACCACCACGCTGCTCATCCAAATGATCGTTTCTCCCGGCCTGTCCACCGGCAGTCTGACCTTCGTGACGACTCCAAGTTCGGCAAGGAGGTGGGCCGATCTCAGACGGTTCCCACCGAAGCGACGGCATCCTGCGGCATGCTTTAAGGAGTTGGAGCTTCTCTTGGAGTCCGTGGAGGGAGTTTGGCCACCTCAGTTAAGGAAGAATGAAACGTGGAAGAACAGACACCTTCTGGTCTAAAGCTGGATATGCACATGCGGAACATTTGGAAACAAGCACAACGGCACCACATCTTCAGGTGGAGATGTGGGAGATGGCGCCTGTGGTGTCGTTTGTGAGTGGAGCTTTGGCTACAAAAGGATCAGTGGTGGTGGTGTGTCAAGTAACCTGCATTGTCCAACACATCGAGGGCCGATGTCCTTGTGCGCTCTGAATCAACAAGTCATCTGAATCAATTGAATTGACTTGCCTGTGCTACTGAGGTAGTTCTGGGATTGGAGTCTCAATCAGTGGCTTTCTTAAGGCCCGCGCAGAAGACAGCACTTTGGGGCATGTTTTATTTCTTTGCTTGTGAATATGCATTTTAAACATTTTTAGCCTTTGAACCAAACTGACCCTTGTCCTCGTGGTCAGGGATTGCGCCTCTTTGCCCCCTGCTGTGTGCTGGAGGACGGATGTTGGATGAATGTTAAACCAAGCAATTCTGGTGGCTCGCCCTGTTCATCAGCAGAAGATAGGCTGCTAAACAAACCAATGGACAAGTCTTGTTAGCGTATTCTTCCCAATTTCTGTGAAGGCTTTGAGGATGCAGCTAATAACGAAGGGCATGTCTGCCTTCAAGCAGGCACAGCATTGCTGGAAGCTGGGCAGACATGCTAAAAGGATCTGAAAGGTCTGCCGACAGTATCTAAATCTATGACTGTTTACAATGAGCATGGTGTTTTGGTCGATTTCGACAAGTACCCTGCAGTGCAGGTGCCAAACCACCGGATGCCTTTGGATCGTGAAGCATTTGTTCCGGGCTGAGACGGGACACGCGTCTTGCGACTCTCGTGACTCCCAGTGTCTCTCGGAACTCATCGTTTATATCGTTTACACAAGGGGTGAAAAAGCTCCGTTCGTAGCGTCCTTGCTCCTAGTAGTAAGGCACTTGTTACTAGAAGCGAT